TCTAATTTACATCCTATCCAGCAATAGCAGAATACATTATTTTTTCAAGTGCCCACGGACCATTCACCAAGATAGACCATATGCTGGATCATAAAACAAATCTTAACTAATTCAGAAGAATTAAAGTTATATGACATATATTCTTTGAACATAATGGCATCAAACTAGAAATCAATAATAGAAAGATGACAAGAAAATCTACAAACACTTGAAAGTTAAAAATACTTCTAAATCTAAGAGGAAATCTAAAGAGACAAAGAGGAAATCTGAAAGGAAAGTTAAAAATACAAAGAATGAATGAAAATACACACATCACATATCAAAATAAGTGAGATGCAGCTAAAGCACTGCTGTGAGGGAAGTTTATAGCACTAAAGGCTTACATTAGAAAAGTAAAGTCTCAAATCCGTAGTCTAAGTTCCTACCTGAAGATGCTAGAAAAAGAAGAGCAAGATAGACCCAAAGCAAGCAGGATGAGGGAAATCATTAAGAGTAGAAGTCAGTGAAATTGAAAACAGGAACACTTCTGAGAAATGTAATGAAACAAAAAATTGGTTCTTAGAAAAAAATGAATGAAATTGATAAATCTCTAGCAAGATTGATAAAGAGATGACACAAATCACCAATATCAGGAATGAAACAGGATATCACTACAGATCTTATAGTGAGTAAAAAGATGACAACTTTACACTCATAAGTTAAACAGCCTAGAAGAAATGCACCAACTATTTGAAAACCACGAACTACCAGAACTTAGCCAAATTGAAATAGATATCTTCTATAGTCCTATAACTATTTTTAACATTGAACTTTTGATTAAAAACTGAAAAGGAATATATCTCCAGGCCTAAGTGGTTTCACTGGAGAATTTTACCAAACACAGAAAGCATTAACATCAATTTGATAAAATGATACCGTCTCTTTCAGGCTGTCAGAGCAGAAGGAACACTTCCCAACTCATTTTGAGGCCTGTATTACCGTGATACCAAAACTGTACAAATACAGCACAAAAAAGAAAACCACAGACTAATATCTCATTGACTTAAATGCAAAAATTCTCAACAAATTTTAGCAAATTGAATCCAACCACAACCAAGTGGGATTTAGTCTGGAAACCCAAGTCTGTTTCAGTATTAGAAAATCAATGAGGGGCTTCCCTGGTGGTGCAGTGGTTGAGAGTCCGCCTGCCTATGCAGGGGACACGGGTTCGTGCCCCGGTCCGGGAAGATCCCACATGCCGCGGAGCGGCTGGGCCCGTGAGCTGTGGCTGCTGAGCCTGCGCGTCTGGAGCCTGTGCTCCACAATGGGAGAGGCCACAACAGTGAGAGGCCCGCGTACCACAAAAAAAAAAAAAAAATCAATGAGATCCACCATATCAACAGGCTAAAGGAGAAAAATCATGTGGTCATAACAATGGATGCAGAAAATGTTTTGACAGAATTCAACATCATCATAAATAAAAACTATCAGAAAGTAGAAGGCAAGGGGAATGTCCTCAACCTCATAATAAATAAACTTACACCTAACTTAATACTTACAGGTCGAGGACTGAATGCTCTCCCTCTACAGTCTGGAAAAGCACAAGGAAGTTAGCTCTCACCACTGTTAATCAACATACTGCTGGCAATTTTGGTTACTGCAGTAAGGAAAGAAAAAGAAAGAAAAGGCATACAAATTTGAAAAGAAGGAATGAAACTATTGCTATTTCCAGTTGACATGATTATCTGCATAGAATATCTGAAGGACTCTACCAAAACACTCCTAGAACTAAAAAATGAATTTATTATTGTTATAAAAGTATAAGGTCACTTCACAAAAATCAACTGATTTCTATACATTGACAATGAACAAGTGGAAACATATTTTAAAAAACGCAATACCATTTACAATTGCTCCAAAGAAAATGAACAAAAGTATAATAAAACGTGCAGGATTTGTGCAATTAAAATGACAAAATCTTGATGAAATTGAAGATTTAAATATTTGGGGAATCATACCATGTTCATTAATTGGAAGACTCAAGGTAATGAAAATGGCAAGTATTCTTAAATTGTTTTACTAATAATTGTAATTCTTAGTAAAACCTCAGAAACATTTTTTTATACACAAGCTTATTCTAAAATGTATATAGACAGAGAAAGGCCTTAAAATAGCCAAACAATTCTGAAGAAGACTGAAGTGGGAAGAATGACTCTTCTTGGTGTCACAGCTTGCTTGTAGCTGCAGTGATCGAAGCAGTATAGTGCTAGTGGAAGGACGGGCACATAGGTCAGTGGAGCAGTGTGAGGAATCCAGAAGTAAATTCACACCAATATGCCCTGCTAATTCTTGACAAAGAAGCAAAAGCAGTTCAGTGGAGGAGGGATTGCCTTTTCAGTATTAGTGCTGGAGAAATTGGACATCCATCTGTAGGCAAAAATACGAACCTTGACCTAAGCCTCACACCTAATATAAGTAACTCAATACAGATCATGCACTCTAATGTAAAACATAAAATTGTAAAACTTAGAGAAAAAGAAAATTTCAAGACCTACGACTAGACGAAGAGTGCTTAGACTTAACACCAAAAGCATAATCCATAAAAGAAAAACTTGATAAATTGGACTTCATGAGAATTTAAAACTTTTGTTCTGCAAAAGACTCTGTTAAGAGGAAGAATATACAAGTTACAGATTGGGGGAAAATATTTGTAAACCCCATGTTTAACAAACGACTTGTATCTAGAACATATAAAAACCCACCAAAACTCAACATTAAAAATATGAAGAGACCAGTTAGGAAATGGGCAAAAGACAATCTAAACATTTCATTGAAGAGGATGAGTGGCAGACACAGACACAGATGGCAGATAAACACATGAAAAGATGTTCAACATCATTAGCCATCTGGGGAATGCAAATTAAAACCACAGAAGTATATCACTACCCATCCATCAGAATGGCTCAAATAAAAATTGTGATAAAACCAAATGCTGGTGAGGATGTGGAAAAAGTGGGTGACCATAACATTGCTAGTAGGGATGTTAAATGTTACAGCCACTTTGCAAAACTGTTTGGCAGTCCCTTTTAAAACTACAAATGGATCTGTCACACCAAGAGCAGGTAATGCTGCGCTCTTGGGCATTTGTCCCAGAGAAGAGAAAACTTATTTTCACTAGGAAACTTATTACATGCATGTCCTTAGCAACTTTGTTCTTGTGTTTTTTTGTTTTTTGTTTTTTTGCGGTACACGGGCCTCACTGTTGTGGCCTCTCCCGTTGTGGAGCACAGGCTCCAGACGCGCAGGCTCAGCGGCCGTGGCTCACAGGCCCAGCCGCTCCGCGGCATGTGGGATCTTCCCAGACCGGGGCACGAACCCGTGTCCCCTGCATCGGCAGGCGGACTCTCAACCACTGTGCCACCAGGCAAGCCCAGCAACTTTGTTCTTAATAGCCAAAACTGTGAAGCCCCAATGTCCTTCAGAGGGTGAATGGATGAACAAATTATGGTACTTCGATACCATAGTCTGCTGCTCAGCACTGAGATGGAACAGGCCATTCAGTCATGCGTCCAGTGTCTTGGATGGACTCTGAGGAAGTCATACCAAGTGAAAACAGTCAACCTCAGAAGGGTGCATACTGCGCGATTCCATACGTATATATAGAACTTGTGAAATACAATTGTAGGCGTGGGGAACAGATTGGTAGTTGACGGGCAGAGATGGGAGCAGTGAATGTGGCTATCAAGTGACATAGTAATGGTACAGTTAAGTATCTTGATTTGATGGTGGTCACATAAGGCTACGTGTGTGATAAAATTGTACTGACGCAGATACAGAAACGTGAGCACTTGTAACTGGTGAAATCTCTGGTTCGTGCAGTGCCAGCTTCCCAGTGTGTATAGGTACCACAGTTATGCAGGACGATACAGTTGGGAGAGGGTGGGTGAAGGATACATGGGACCTCCCTGTACATTACTTCTCACCTTTCTGTTGTTATCTATAATATTTCAAACTAAAATGGTTGAATTCCTACATAGGCATAGAAGGAAATCTGGAGAACACTGAAACTGTAAGTTTCTCAGATGGTAGAATTACGAATGATTTGTATTTTCTTTGTTTCATACGTTTTCAACAGTGAACATATATGATTTTTGTGAGAGAAAAAAATACTGACATAAGCTAAATGGATTCAATGAAAACTAATTTCCAGTGGAAATGTTCGTTGCAAAATTTGCTCATACGGGTCCGTTTGAATTATGAACTTGGAGGGCATTGGTAGCCTTGAAAGATTTTCAGAGTCACAGTGGGATCAGAACACAGAGTGTAGCAGATTTAAAAATAAATGGGAAGCAGGTAAAAGCAGGGAAATATAAAAAGTACGCATTCGGCAATCCGACAGAAAGACGTGAGAAGGGGAAGTGGGACGAGCATTTTTCAGTTGTGAGGTTCTTGATCCACAGCTGGTGCTGCAGGAAGAGAAAGTGGGTAATTATGAGTAATTTCTAATGAGGAGATCATTCCATGCTTGTGATAAACCATGTTAGTCGGCGTGTGATTGGGCGGGTCATTTGCAGTCCAGGACCAGGGCGTGCCCGGGTGCAGGGAGTGGGAGCTCATGTTATTCCCTGTCGTGTGCGTGCGTGTGTGTGTGCATGTGTGTGTTTACTACGTAAACGAACACGTAGCAATGATGGGCCTTTGTAGAGGAAGATTTTGATTTGGGGTTTAGCTAACCTCCAAAGCAGTTTTAAAAAACCTGTTGACTTAAATGGCTAATAAAAAGGTAGCTGGTCTCTATTTGAATAATTACATTTGGGGTTTAATTGCTTCCTTCTGTTCTCACTGAATGTGTTGGTTAAATCGCCAAAGGAGAATGCCAGCATCTTTTATCAGTTTATCAGCTAATCATTTAGACATGATCAGTATTTGCCACCAGAAGTAGTGGCACCGGGCGGTCCCTAGGTAAGATGCTGCTGTAGCCTTAGTCGTTCTTTAACCTTAGTACATTAAATGATGCACAGGGCACCCTGCACCACCTGGCAGCTCTGTGCGAAGGCAGGCGCAGCTCTTCACGAGGAGGGAAGCCGAGAAGCAAAGAGGAAGAGGTACGCCTCCTGCATGCTCGCTGCCTCACGCCGTCACTTTGAGTTGATTGCCTTCCTTTCCTGCATGGTTTAAATTCCTAACAATGACTGGATTATCTCTAGGTCTGTAGGGACCTGTTAATATATTTTGACTGACATACTGTGTCATAATTTTGCCCCATAACTGTTATTCAGAATTCTGAGTTCAATTTCTTTTCTTTTGATAAAATTAAAAATTTGTTATTGTGTTGTTTTTCTTTTCAGAAACAAATTGATCTAAATTAAACACTTGAAAGCTAATATTACATTGCCATTAACCAGATTTCAAAACTTTTATTTCTTATATTCACATTAACACCTTTCTTTAAGTAAAAAACATTTTAGCAATGAAAATGGTAGTTTTTTTTTTTTCAAATAAAATGTTGCGTTTTTTTTTTTCTCTTCGTAGGTTTATCTGGCAAGGCTGCGACAAATAAGACTGCAGAATTTCAATGAGCGCCAACAGATTAGAGCGAAGCTTCGTGGTGAAAAGGCAGGTTGAAAATCTTTTTCAAAAAGTAATTGAATGACATTATAATACACTGAGATTGTGTGCCACTAACACAAAATAAAGTCTGATGAAGACAGTGAAAGTCAAAGACCGGAAAACTATACATAGTGATACAGTATATCTTATTTATATGACTTAAAATTGATAAGACCTTTTGTTCTGGGGGGATTCTGAGAGGAAAGTGTGAGTGGTACCCATGGACATATAAAATGGTACATTTTATATCCTTCTGTTTCTGTCTTTTTTCTCAGTGTCCATAGGAGTTGACGGTTGTGGAGCGTTCAGATGCAGCTGTGAATGACTTGCCATTTTTCATTTTTAGATGTTAGTTTATTCATGTGAAGTCTACAGTGAGTTTGCGGTTCTATCCTAAGTGGTCTGCTCACTACTTATTTTGTAGAAAGAAGCTGACAGCTCCGAAGGACAGGAAGGAAGTGAGGAGGCTGACGTGAGGCGTAAGAAAGTGGAAGCGCTGAAGGTATGTACTGGAAGTGATACAGGTTTTTCTAGAGGAAATGGAAACCTGAGTTAGAAAGTTGTGTTCTTAAGTCTTTCATAGTAAACCAACTTATTCTCTTGCCTTAACTTTTCTTTCCCTTTTGTCCCTCACTTTTCCATTTCTGAAAAATAGCGTTTTTCTCTCTTCATGTCATATTTATGGAGAGCAATTTGATGAAGCCACAGCATAAATACATGAAACTATCACACAAGTAACCTTAAGAAGAGAAAGTGGTAACCCTAAAAGTGAAAAACATAATCTCCGCTTCTCTGAAGACTAGTTTGTGCATAATAGTCATACTTGTAAATTTTTAAATTTTTATTTCCATTTGACTGTACCTGCATTTATTTTCATTCCAGAAATACTTATTGAGCAGCTGCTGTGTGTTGGCAGCCCGTTTAGGTGCTGGGCATGCAGCTTACGTTTGTGTTCTGGAACCACACACACCCACTTCTTTTTTGGCTAATAAGGAAATATTTTTATAGACCTGGAAAAATAAACAGGCAAACCCCGCGCCTTTCTTTCTGGCACTAGCTGTGCTGATTGTCTTCATTTCCAGGCCCAGGTGAGCGCCCGCGCGGCTGTGCTGAAGGAGCAGCTAGAACGTAGGAGGAAGGAGGCGTACGAGAGAGAGAAGAAGCTGTGGGAGGAGCATGTGAGCCTTGCCCCTGTCGTCCTGCCGGGCTCCTGCCCGCTCGCTTTCACTGGGTTCTGTGCCAGCCTTACGGTTCTGTGGTCCTATTTTCTCCCTCTCGTTCATTTCCCCTACATCTCTCTGTCTCTGTCATCATTTAAGGACGATCCATTTTGGGGTTTGATTTGAGGTGAGAACCCAATGTGTTTTATTTAGTCTTTATTATTGCCAAGTAGCTAATCAAAGTCCCAGCATCACTTAATGCCTGCAACATTTCTTCTGCCCCTGATCTGCAATACTGCCTGTGAGAGACTAGACGCCTGTGTGTCCTGGAGGATGAGTCCACGTCTGTTCCCCAGGGCCCCATTGTGCTTGTACTTATGGGTTTAGAATATATTTAATTCTTGGAAGGGTTCTTCCCTCATTTCCCCTTCACTCTTCTTTTTCATTTGTTTTCCTTACTTACTTGCTCTCTTTTTCTCTGAGAGGTACAGTTTAGAGTAATATTTTTTCTTTTTTCTTTTCTTAAATCTTGTTGGGATTTTGATCATACTACCTTAAACCTACAAATTAACTTAAGAAGAACTGATGTGTTTATTAATAGTCTTTTTCCAGAAGCGTGTTAAATATCTACATTTACTTGTATCTTTTGTATCTCTTACATAATTTTGATCATTTTTAACTCATACTTGTTATATTTCTTGTAAAGCTTATTTCTTGATGGTTTATAATTCCATTTCTGCTTTTAAACGTTTGTTTTTTTCCTAACAGAATAGTGCTGATATTTGGAGAAATTGTTGGGTTTTGCTTATCTCTTATGCAGTGAGTGTGCCTATTCTACCAATGTTGAGGGGTTTCAGCATGCAACAACATCACTGACAGGCAGTCACGATATACATCATAACAGTAATTGCTACTGTTCATAATCGTTTATTGTATGCAAGGCAAATTATAACCACTGTCCATGGATCGCTTTGCTTACTCTTTACGACTTTACAAAGCAGATAAAGAAAGATAAAACAGTTAGATGAGGTCACATTTTCAGGAAGTGTGGAATTGAGATAGGAACCTGTGCCTGTCAGGTATCAAAGTCTTAGTATTCATAGGCAGTATGCCTAACTACCCTGCTTTCTTTAAGTTTTGCCTTTTATTACCACTTTATTCTTACTGCATCGGCCAGAACTTCTAGGACAGAGTTAAATAGTAATAGGGACAATACTTTTGTTCCTGTCTTTAATGGAAATACTTTAGTCATTTCTCTGTTATGTATGGTAAAATACTAAGGAATATAATTTTACGTCTGGGTTTTACAGTTTTTTATCAGACTTGTGTTTTGGCGTTTTATCAGATGTCTTTTGTGTTATCTCTTAATATGATTGTGTTTCTTCTGAATCCACCCGTTGATGTCATATACAGGGAGATTCTCTTACCATATTCCTAAAGAAAAGAACCATTTAGCTATGAAGCATGAGTGAAAGGGACAGAACTCCAGAAATCAGAATAAGTCTAAGGGTTTTTTGATAGTTTCTTTTTGTTTTCTCCTCCCAGCAATTTTGATTTCTCCACCCTCCGCTAGTTACCGTTTTTCTCTGTAGTTTCCAGAGTCCAATAGTGGAGAACTCTCGTCTTGTTTGCCACATCATGAACAAGTCTTCACTATGAGACAGTAACTGTCACAGGGTATCTCATCTTCCTCCCAAATCATAATTACTGTTATCTGCTACTTATCTTCTGGCCTACTGGTCCCAGTCTTCCCTGGCTTCAGATTGTTATGCTGTTTAAATCATGTTTTAATTCTAGTGTTTTTTACTTTCCCCTTCCTTTTTTTTTTCTTGAATTTCATTTTTAAAATTTTTTTATATAGCAGGTTCTTACTAGTTATCCATTTTATACATATTAGTATATATATATATGTCAATCCCAATCTCCCAATTCATCCCAACACCACCCCCGCCACTTCCCCCCTTGGTGTCCATACATTTGTTCTCTACATCTGTGTCTCTATTTCTGCCCTGCAGACCAGTTCATCTGTACCATTTTTCTAGGTTCCCCATATATGTGTTAATATACCATATTTGTTTTTCTCTTTCTGACTTAACTTCACTCTGTATGACAGTCTCTGGGTGCATCCACGTCTCTACAAAGGACCCAGTTTCGTTCCTTTTTTATGGCTGAGTAATATTCCCTTGTATATATGTACCACATCTTCTTTATGCATTTGTCTGTCGATGGGCATTTAGGTTGCTTCTATGACCTGGCCATTGTAAACAGTGCTGCAGTGAACATTGGGATGCATGTGTCTTTTTGAATTATGGTTTTCTCTGGGTATATGCCCAGTAGTGGGATTGCTGGATCATATGGTAATTCTATTTTTAGTTTTTTAAGGAACCTCCATACTGTTCTCCATAGTGGCTGTATTAATTTACATTCCCACCAACAGTGCAAGAGGGTTCCCTTTTCTCCAACCCTCTCCATCATTTATTGTTTATAGATTTTCTGATGATGCCCATTCTAACTGGTGTGAGGTGATACCTCATTGTGGTTTTGATTTACATTTCTCTAATAATTAGTGATGTTGTGCAGCTTTTCATTTGCTTCTTGGCCATCTGTATGTCTCCCTTGGAGAAATGTCTATTTAGGTCTTCTGCCCATTTTTGGATTGGGTTGTTTGTTTTTTTTAATGTTGAACTTCATGAGCTGTTTATATATTTTGGAGATTAATCCTTTGTCTGTGGATTTGTTTGCAAATATTTTCTCCCATTCTGAGGGTTGTCTTTTTGTCTTGTTTCTACTTTGCTTTGCAAAAGCTTTTAAGTTTCATTAGGACCCATTTGTTTACTTTTGTTTTTATTTCCATTACTCTACAAGGTGGATCAAAAAAGATCTTGCTGTGATTTATGTCAAAGTGTGTTCTTCCTATGTTTTCCTCTAAGAGTTTTATACTGTCCGGCCTAACATTTAGGTCTCTAATCCATCTTGAGTTTATTTTTATGCATGGTATTAGGGAGTGTTCTAATTTCATTCTTTTACATGTAGCTGTCCAGTTTTCCCAGCACCACTTATTGAGGAGGCTGTCTTTTCTCCTTTGTATATACTTGCCTCCTTTGTCATAGATTAGTTGACCATAGGTGTGTGGGTTTATTCCTGGGCTTTCCATCCTGTTCCATTGATCAATATTTCTCTTTTTGTGCCAGTACCATATTGTCTTGATTACTGTACCTTTGTAGTATAGTCTGAAGTCAGAGAGTCTGATTCTTCCAGTTTTGTTTATTTCCTCTCAAGACTGCTTTGGCTATTTGGGGTCTTTTGTGTCTCCATACAAATTTTAAGATTTTTTGTTCTAGTTCTGTAAAAAATGCAATTGGTAATTTGATAGGGATTGCATTGAATCTGTAGATTGCTTTGGGTAGTATAGTCATTTTAACAATTTTGATTCTTCCAATCCAAGAAAATGGTATATCTCTCCACCTATTTGTATCATCTTTCATTTCTTTCACCAGTGTCTTAGACTTTTCTGCATACAGGTCTTTTGTCTCCCTAGGTAGGTTTATTCCTAGGTATTTTATTCTTTTTGTTGCAGTGGTAAATGGGAAGGTTTCCTTAATATCTCTTTTAGATTTTTCATCATTAGTGTATAGGAATGCAAGAGATTTCTGTGCATTAATTTTGTATCCTGAAACTTTACCAAATTCATTGATGAGCTCTAGTAGTTTTCTGGTGGCATCTTTAGGATTCTCTATGTATAGTATCATGTCATCTGCCAACAGTGACAGTTTTACTTCTTCTTTTCCAATGTGTATTCCTTTTATTTTATTTCTTTTTCTTCTCTGATTGCCATGGCTAGCACTTCCAAAACTATGTTGAATCATAGTGGTGAGAGTGGACATCCTTGTCTTGTTCCTGATCTTAGAGGAAATGCTTTCAGTTTTTCACCATTGAGAGTGATGTTTGCTGTGGGTTTGTTGTACATGGCCTTTATTATGTTGAGGTAGGTTCCCTCTATGCCCACTTTCTGGAGATTTTTTATCATAAATGGGTGTTGAATTTTGTCAAAAGCTTTTTCTGCATCTATTGAGATGAACATATGGTTTTTATTCTTCAATTTGTTAATATGATGTATCACATTGATTCATTTGCATATATTGAAGAATCCTTGCATCCCTGGGATAAATCCCACTTGATCATGGTGTATGATCCTTTTAATATGTTGTTGGATTTTGTTTGCTAGTATTTTGTTGAGCATTTTTGCATCTGTAATCACCAGTGATATTGGTGTGGAATATTCCTCTTTTGTAGTGTCTTTGTCTGGTTTTTGTATCACAGTGATGGTGGCCTCGTAGAATGAGTTTGGGAGTGTTCCTTCCTCTGCAGTTTTCTGGAAGAGTTTGAGAAGGATGGCTGTTAGCTCTACTCTAAATGTTTGCTAGAATTCACCTGTGAAACCATCTGGTCCTGGACTTTTGTTCGTTGGATTTTTTTTTTTTTTCTTTTTGCGGTTACGTGGGCCTCTCTCTGTTGTGGCCTCTCCCGTTGCAGAGCACAGGCTCCAGACGCGCAGGCTCAGCGGCCACGGCCCACGGGCCCAGCCGCTCCATGGCATGTGAGATCCTCCCGGACCGGGGAACAAACCCATGTCCTCTGCATCAGCAGGTGGAATCCCAACCCCTGCGCCACCAGGGAAGCCCTATTGGAAGATTTTTAATCACAGTTTCAATTTCATTACTTGTGATTGGTCTGTTCATATTTTCTGTTTCTTCCTGGTTCAGTCTTGGAAGGTTATACCTTTCTAAGAATTTGTCCATTTCTTCCAGGTTGTCCATTTTATTGGCATAGAATTGCTTGTAGTAGTCTCTCAGGATGCTTTGTATATCTGTGGTGTCTGTTGGAACTTCTTCTTTTTCATTTCTAATTTTATTGACTTGAGTCCTCTCCCTCTTTTTCTTGATGGGTCTGGCTAATGGTTTATCAATTTTGTGTATCTTCTCAAAGAACCAGCTTTTAGTTTTATTGATCTTTGCTAT